TATATATATATATATCAAGTTACTGAAAATACATTCAAGATATTTCCTGATGGAAAATTTGACCCGAGTGATTGAGAATATCGGGCTAACGTGCCATTCAACTTAACGAAGAAATATCTACGAACGTATGACGACTTGGCGTTTCTAGGGGGTGAAGTATTGAATTATTCGACAGTACATTTATAAACAAACCACAGCATTATCCGTATATACGAAATCTCGCAAGGCATAGGGAAACCTAATTACAAGGAACAGAGGGAACTTAAAAAAACAAAGGGGACTCCCGTGAAAACCAAGTCAATGAATACCAGAAGACGCGGAAACGCTAAATCCGCTTTACCTTGGATACAATGTCCACAGCATCTGAGTGAAGATTAGGCGGATAGGTCACATCTCCATATGAGATAGCACTGAACAGATCTTGTTCCGTGTCTCCCTCGAACGGCGGAGCGCCAGCCATCATTTCATACATCAATACGCCCAGAGCCCACCAATCCACACTAAATCCGTAATCCAATTCTGCCAGGATCTGAAAGAAAAACATGCGTACGTAGGCGAATGAGGATACAAGCGTGAGCGGACGGGTTGTTTCTTTTTTGCTCCAAATAATAGTGAGAGATCATTGCAGTTCAAAGTCATGGGCAAATCAAAAATGAATGGATGAATAATCCATAATGATGAACAAACAAATCCCGGGGTAGTGGATAAGGACAAGATCGGTGAACAAAACAAGGTGAGACCAAATGGTAAAACCAACGACAGGGTACATCATAATGAGCTGATTATGTTCAATCTATTTGCTATGTGGTTGGTTAGTGACCAATAAGCTTCCGTCAAATATACACGAAGCATGACCGAGAAATTTGTTGGATGCACGGAAAAGTACGAACCGACTGCCTGTATCTTGTTTCGCTTGCACATGTCAGTCATTTCTTATCACAAAGTTGAAACGACTGGGTCGACCTTTAGATGAGACGAACGGGAGATCAAAAAAAGATGAGAGGTAACGCATGAAACCGCTCATCGTGATTCAACAGTTACCTGCCTCTCCCCGTTCACTACCATTGGTCTTGTCGTTTATCACTAGACTTGCATGATGTTGTGAACACAGCTTTGCTCAAATATTGACCAATTCTGGGTGACAATAATGGCAAATAACAATTACACCACTATGGGCTTCCCGGCCATATGATTGACAGTGACGCGGTACTTAACTTGCTCTTGGCGGACGAACTGATATCATATTAGTGTCGCAAATGATTTGGGCGTATATATCAACAATCAGCTAGGAGATACAAATAAATCGGTGATTTCCACTTCTGTGACACTGGTCATTTGATACAAAAGTCGATATCATGATGCAAAACAATAAAGAAAGAGCATCATAAAACTTTGAGATACAAATGGATATAGTGCACCAAAAACGCTCAACAAAGTCATATAGGAGTGATTTTTGTGAAGGGACCGTTCAACTGTGACATTAGTGTCGTAAAGCACCACCCAGTATGGGAGCAGCAAAGGATGGTTATGAAAAACAAGCCAATCTACCTTCACTTCGCTAGACAACAACAAAAAACACTAAGAAAAATGAATCAGTGAGCAGAGAGAACTATTTTATCTGAGAGTGGATACACTCGTACGATTTGGCAAAACAAGATCTTCAGAGGGGGGAAAAGCAGATGAGCGTGATTATCGTGGATGGGGGGGGGAGAGAAACGGTAATCACGCTC